TAATAATAAAACCATAGATCAGCATTACTTTTTCAAGTCTTAAATTATAGGAACTGTAAAATTTGGATGGTTTTCATTAAACATCAAGCTGAAACTTTTGTTATGATGCGGAGTTGGAGGCATTTTATTAGATCTAATAAAAATAGGACATCTATAGTACGAATAATACACACGACAGTAGTCTTATCTCAAACAGTGCTGCTGCTTTTTATTAATCATTATCAGAATGATACAGTATCAATAATTTTAGTTAAATATAAATATTAGAGGCAGTATTTCTCTTTTTGAAGCCAGTTTAATAAATGTGGAAATCACATGACTTCTTTTACCACTTACGGTCTCAATTGCGAGAGAATAAAAAATTGTTTTTAAAATATTGTCTAATGGTGATATAACAATGATATAAAATATTTTATTTTATCAGGTAATTCTACAATAATATAACACTTATAACAAAATAAAATTGGCACTCACCACCATTATATCCTCTACCAGGGGGTCAGTAGACATAAATAAAAGTTGATGTGGATTTTGCTGAAGGTACTAGTCCTGATACTCCATCTGGGATTGGTTTGATAAGAGTTTACAACAATAAGGGATTAAGAACCAGAGATTAATATAACATATATGATACTGTAACTTATGAATAATAAACAAAATTGCTAACACTAGCATATAAAGTCCGAGATGGTACGGCTCCCATCTACCTGAATCCTCTTGCAAAGGCTTACGTCTCGACCCGGCCGCTCCGGTCATCACAGACTCGTCGGCTAGCAGTGCCTACACCACGCTCAGGACAATCCAGACTCTTCTCATACATCGTTCCACTTTTGTGGAATGACCTACCAAGCACTACCAGAACAGGGGCTTCCTTTTCAATTTTCAAGGAACTCCTGAAGACCCTGCTCTTCAAAGAGCATCTTCTTAACTAGCACCCTCCCTGCACCCGTCACCCCTCTCTACCGTCCACTCCTTGTTCCCTCCTCTCCATGATTGATGTCAAGTTGTTGTTGTTATTTTTGTTCACCTCAAGGGCAACATGCCGATTATCACTTGTAAGTCGCTTTGAACAAAAGCGTCTGCTAAATACTTAAACATAAACATAAAATGATTCTATGACAAGTAAAATAATAAAGCCTATTTAGTACTGAACTAAAAGGGATAACTTTATATTTATAGTTGGTACTTAACAATGTTAATACATAATCTTTGATTCAGAATTCTAATAAAATCACAATTTTTTACGTTTTTATGAATTACAAACATAGTCATGATGACTGAAGCTGCTATGGTATCGGTGAATTGTTGATTTTTATTTCTTAGTCCACCAATCAAATAGTCCCTTAAATTTGGAAATTACGTGTTTCCAGTAGTGTTATAATACATCATTAATTTTAAAATGATTCATCATAATTCCAAATATCAAATTAAAATTAAATCTATTCTACTGTTTGGTTAAACTCCAGTTGTCTTCCTCGTTCGTGTCTTTGGTGCCCCCTGCAGGTAGGGAGAAAGTAGTGAATCTGGGAGCAGGAAATCAGCTAAAAGTGCCATTAATCTGCTATTTCTAATCTTATATATCGGTACCATTAGGCTTGTACATCTATATTTTGCTGTATAGATATTTTGTTCACTGCAACCAGGGGCGTGTCCAGATCTTTTCAAATGGGGTGGCCCAGGTGAGGCACAACTTTGTGCATGGGTGGCACCAATGGTTATGCTTTTTTTGTTTTACCCCCAGCCTTTTGTGGGCAATAAAAATCCTGTTTAAAGGTATTAAAATTAAATTTAGTGTTTTGGCACCTGGGGTGGCTAATCAGATTCCAAGGGTGGCATGTGCTACCCCAGGCCACTCCCTGGACACGCCCCTGACTGCAACACTTTAGAGATAATAGATTTAAAACTGCAAGGTTACCGTTCTGTTTGTTCCCGTTTGCTGCTACATCATCCCTGGAAAAGCAAAAACTTGACTCTGAGCTGGGTCTGTGGCCTTGCAGGTCAGGTAATATCAGCAACACTCTGACATCAGATAGTGAATATCAAGCCCAAGGCTTGCTCCCCAGCACCATTCATCATGTTAAAAGTCTGCAATGTGCTTTAGCTGCAAAGCTGAAACTGCCTGGAGGGGTCGGGCGGTAAAAGCCTCCATTCTGCTGACTGAACAACAGGCCAATAGGACTTGATGTTGTGTGTGTTCGGTTTACATGCAATGTGTGGGGGAGAAAAAGTGAGGCCTGGATGTAAACTGACGCAGGCAGATTGTTCCCTGGTTGGCTCTGGTTGACACAAGTCAGCGGCTCTGCTGAAGGAAGAGGATGAGACTGAGCAGGGGATCAATTTTCAGACCGCAGAATTCACTGCATCCTCTCTGGAAAACAGTAGAGTTCAGAGATAAAGGCCACAAGTAAAAGAACAAACTAACAGAGCTTCCTTCTAAAGCCATGCATGATACAAATATCACATGAAATGATGTAATGAATGAGGAAAAGGAGAAATACCCAGTTACATTAACAGAAGATTCATTTAGACCTTTTTTGAGTCTATTAAAGCTACTGCATCCAATTTCTGCAGAATTTCTTGTCTTAATTTTATGTAATGAGTAAAAAAAAACAATCTACAGCATAGTGTTAATATTAGGTATGTAAGAAAATATCAAAACATTGAAATATTGTGATATTTCATGTTATGATACAGAATCCATATTTAAAAGCAGTGTTTCAATAATTTTAACAAATTTACATGCAAACAATTCCAGTTTATTTTGTGTGTTGCAATTCAACCTCCGACTGATAGGTGGCAGCAGTTTTTACCGCCTTCATTCTGATGGAACAACGGGATCTTTCGATATAGCCTAGTTTACTTGTTTCTCTGTTGAGGTACAGAGATATCACTGCTGCCATTATCCTTCAACACGAGGCTTCTCCGACAAGCAAGCAAGGACGGACAAAGTAAAGCCAGATTGTTTAATCTGTCGAAACACAACGGTGAGCGCATGTCTGTGATTGGTCGGGCCAACAACAGTCAAGCATAATTCCCCGCTTGACGCTGCTATCTCCTTCGCTTCGAATTTTTTGTTCCTGAAGATAAATCGGTTCCATCACAATGAAAACGTGCTCTATGTTGGCCATTTCTCCTTTTGTTAATTTTGCGTTTAAATGTAAGAGACGTCACTGTAATGGTAGGCAGACCCTCCAGAAATGGTATACGCTTCCTAATGTCCTGGTGGAGAATTGCTTTGCAACACTGACACACCAACGGAGAAGCATAAAAGGAAAATGTGTCCCGTCAATACGTGTGCGTGATCGCAAACTTGCTGACGAAGAAGTTTGAACTCAGTGTGTCTTGGAAGCATCTTGCCTGAGTTTTCCAAATAAATTCAGTCTTAAAGGTCAACTTTACTCACATTTTAACATATTTGGAGTGTTCTCTAGCAGGGATGAATACCATGCAAGTAGTTTCTCTGGGGAAAATAAGCTCTTGTACGTCTGTTTGAGGACGTAGATATCAGCTGGAGGAGAAAATTCCAGAACGCGGATATTTGGACATCCCGTCTTGGATTGGTTAACAGCAACACGACTCTACCACTGACTGTTTGCTCTGCAACGTTGATGTTTCTCCACAAATAATACAAGCCTGAAGGAGGTCTGCTGTGTGGTGGAGTTGCTAATGCTAACGGTTAGCTTCTACTAGCTAAGACGTTCTCTGCTGTTTCCTGGACGCTAAAGCAACAACAGCCTTCCTCGTCGCGAGTCAAGGAAGGTGAGTCCATGAATGTTGAGTGACGGTGTGATGTAGATCTGTCAAGCTTTTCAAATCTTATCGTTTCACATTCTATTTTCTGTCAGAAGCCAATGGAGGAAATGGGGTAGAAGAGTATTTTCATGTTGAGCCTGAATGAAAAACACAGAGTGATCAAATATAACCAGAAATAATAATTAAAGATGAAGTTGACCTTTAAAAATTGCAAATATCATCTGGCTTTTAGTATTGTCCCCCCTGCTATATCACCAGATTCTTGCCAGTACACACACCTAGCTGGCATTATAGTAACAGAGGATCAAAGTTTGTTTTTTAAAGCCAGAATGTATCTAAAAAAATCAGCACCCGAGCGATAAAGCGGGCAGGATCTAGCTTGAGATCGCTTCAGTTGTCACATCGTGACAGGACAGAGGATCAGCTGTGTCCTGATCAATAACTGCAGCCTGGGCAGTCATGGATGGAGTGTTTAACCTCTTGAATTTCAGGGAGACGATTGTAAACCAGAAAGAAAACAAGGCAAATATAAAAGCTTCTGCAGGAAATGGTGCACCCTGGTCTGTGTTAAACGTAGCATCGTAATAAACCTTTGAACGGGGCAGACGGGTCGCGTTCTTGAATATCATAGCCGTTTCTGTCCAGGAGCAGTGAAATGTTCTAATGTCTTTGTGACTTATGGGGAAAATACAAACCGCTTTAATTACTCTGAGTAAATTGAAGCAGAGTTTTCAGGTAATAACAAATGTTTAGAGGAAACGTTTGTGTTTAAAAAATCATGTTCAAATGGATCCAGTTCAGATTATTCGTTAGCTGTGAGATCTTCCCTCTGATTCCCACAACCAAGATCCCCCCCCAAGACAACCGCTTCAAAGTGACCAAACGTTCCCTTCTCACGTGCAAAGGTGTGTTTAGCATATGAAGGAAGAGGTCTGTGGTTACAAATATCCAGAGGAGTTACTGGATGGCAGAAAAAGTGATTTAAGGATGCTGTGAGTTTGTTTAGGAGGAATATACCCACCTCCTTAGACTTCTTTGGTCTCTTACAAACGCGCGCACGCACACACACACACACACACACACACACACACTTAGAGGATTGTGCAAAAGGAAAATTAAATAGTCCCAACAGTAAACATGATAATGTGAACATAAAACAACATCATGATAACGCCAGCAGTGCATGAACCATCTTCCTCTCTGGTTCATAACTTCTATTTTTCTTATTATTTTTGTCCTCTTTGCAGGTACTTTGTGTTGGATCCGGATTTGGGCCAGTTGCAGTACTTCGTCAACGAGCAGGGAAAGAACCAGAAGCCCAGAGGGTCCCTGCCCCTTATTGGTGCCTCGGTAACCACGTGTGACGAGACTCCATATATGTTCATTGTAAACTCTGTCAACGGGGAGTTGTACAAACTTAGAGGTATGCCTCAACGTCGACTGACTGCATGCGATGATGGTGTGTGTGTGTGTGTGTGTGTAATTTTTTGTGTAAAAAAATAATGATGGATCAGATTTTATGTAGGAACCCAAAGCATTGTCTATTCGTCGCTACTACTACGTAGCCACAGCGGCCCTGGGGCAGTTGGCCCCTCTGGCCACCACCTACACAGGCAATTTAGGTGAAGTGCCTTGCCCAAGAACACAAAAGAAGAGATTCCTGTTGGAAGCTGGACTCGATTGATAACTGGACAACCTGCTCTACCTTCTGAGTTATTGCTTTGCCATTTGAATATAAATATTTAGTGCACATAATAATTACTAGGGCTGTAAATGGCTAGCTTCATCATGATACAATATATCGATACAGTGGATTGTGATTCGATGTGTGCCGATATCTTAAATTCGCTATCAGTTTGATTTGATTTAGAATCCATCAATCATATGAAGCGATATACGATATTGAACATAATCATTCCCTAGATGAGATGATTTCTTTACTATTTTCTCACTGATCACTATGACGCCGCTTGATTCTTGGTGATGTGCAGCAACAGGTGGAAAACAGCATATCAGCGGAACCATCCATCCATCCATGCATTTTCATCCGCTTATTCGGAGTCAGGTCGCGGGGGCAGAAGCCTAAAGCCTGGTTTATGCTTCTCCGTCAGCTCCGCAAGGGACAGACATGCACGGATTGACGGAAGCATTTTGCTCTTTTGCTTCTCCGTCTCCTGGGGAGTGTTGCAAAGCAATTGCCCGGCAGGACCACAGAGGGTGTAGAGCTGTTCTGTGGTATCCTGTCATCTATCGGTCCAAGATAGTGTGTTTATATTGTGTTTTTTGTGTATATAAGAGACTTTTAACACGGACATATTTGTCTCTCATTCTCCCACCGCTTCATGCGCTCCCCACCTCTAAACCCACGTTTCCTGTCATTTCCGTCCACAAATAAAACGCTTGCTGCGCATCTTTTCACTCCTCCAGTCACGGGAGAATTAAACGTTCATATTTTTTGAGTTTTTTCGAGAGATATTCTTCAAGCTTCTCCGTGTCTGCCGCTAGTTATCCTCGGCTCTCTTTGCAATGGCGGCGCTGTAAACAACAGCGGCATCCTGACCAATCACAAGCTTGCGTAATCCGTCTCGTTCGACGGATGTTTAAAAAAGTGGGCTCGACTCCGTCCTTGCGTGTCTCCGCACTGACGCAGACGGAGAAGCATAAATCAGGCTTAAGTCGAGAGGCCCAGACTTCCCTCTCCCCAGCCACTTGGGCCAGCTCCTCCGGAGAAATCCCAAGACATTCCCTGGCCAGGTGGGAGACAGTCCCTCCAGTGTGTTCTGGGTCTACCTTTAGGTCTCCTCCCGGTTGGATGTGCTCGGAAAACCTCACCAGGGAGGTGCCAGGAGGCATCCGACCAGATGCCCGAGCCACCTCAACTGGCTTCTCTTGATGTGGAGGAGCAGCGAATCTACTCTGAGCCCCTCCAGAATGGCCGAGCTTCTCACCCTATCTCCAAGGGAGAGCCGCTTAATTTCTGCCGCTTGTATCCGCGATCTCGTTCTTTCGGTCACTACCCAAAGCTCATGACCATAAGTGAGGGTAGGAACGTAGATCCACCGGTAAATCGAGAGCTTTGCCTTCTGACTCAGCTCTCTCTTCACCACGACAGAACGGTACAACACCGCGTCATTGCAGATGCAGCACCAATCCGCCTATCGATGTCACGCTCCAGTTTTCCCTCACTCGTGAACAAGACCCCGAGATACTTGAACTCCTCCACTTGGGGCAGGACCTCATCCCTGACCCGGAGAAGGCATTCTACCCTTTTCCGAATCAAGACCATGGTCTCAGATTTAGAGGAGCTGATTCTCATCTTAGCTGCTTCACACTTGGCTGCGAACCGCTCCAGTGAAAGCTGAAGATCACGTTCAGATGAAGCTAAAAGGACCATATCATCAACAAAAGGCAGAGACCCGATCCTCAGGTCACCAAAATGGGTTGCCCTCCACACCTTGGCTGCGCCTAGAAATCCTGTCCATAAAGGTTTAGAACAGAATCGGTGACAAAGGGCAGCCTTGGCGGAGTCCAACTCTCACTGGGAACGAGCCCGACTTACTGCTGGCAATGTGGACCAAGCTCTGACACCGGTCATACAGGGACCTAACAGCCCATATCAGAGGGCCTAGTACCCCACACTGCCGGAGTACCCCCACAGGGCCCCCCGAAGGACGCGATCAAACGCCTTCTCCAAATCCACGAAACACATGTAGACTGGTTGGGCAAATTCCCACGCACCCTCCAGGATGCCCCTAAGGGTATAGAGCTGGTCCAGTGTTCCACGAGCAGGACGAAAACCACATTGCTCCTCCTGAATCTGAGGTGCAAAAATCCAATGGACCCTCCTCTCCAGAACTCCTGAATAGACCTTACCCGGAAGGCTCAGGAGTGTGATCCCCCTGTAGTTGGAACACACCTTGTGGTCCTCCTTTTTAAATAAGGGAACCACCACCCTGGTCTGCCAGTCCAGTGGGACTGCCCCGATGTCCACGCGATTTTGCAGAGCCGCGTCAGCCAACACAGCCCCATAACATCCAGAGCCTTAAAGAACTTCGGGCAGAGCTTAACCACCCATGGAGCCTTGCCACAGAGGAGCATTTAACCACCTCAGTGACATCAGCACCAGAGATTTGAGAGCCCAACTCAAAGTCCCCAGATTCTGCTTCTTCACTGGAAGACGTGTTTGTGGGATTGAGGAGGTCTTCAAAGTGTTCTGCCCACCGATCCACAACGTTCTGAGTAGAGGTCAGCAGCACACTTGTCGCCACTATAGATAGTATTGGTAGTGCACTGCCCCCCCCCCCAAAAGGCGCCAGATGGTGGTACGGAAGTCTTGCTCCATACTCCATATCAGCGGGTCTTCAAAATGAAACTATTTCTAAGGAAAAGTGCATCAATTTCTGCATTTTGGATCAATGACCATATAATCAATGTGTCAACGTAGATCGATGTATCGTTACTGTTGATATTTACTTTTAAGAAATATTCTAATAATCATTAAATCACCTGCAAGAATGATAATAATAATAATGCGGTCAATGGAAATAATTGATACTTGTACTCGGAGCATTTTATCTCTTGGGCCTTAGGTTTCTTAGACCTGAGTCTACTGAGGCGAGAGTAACTTCTTGTTACAGTTGCTCCACTTGAGCTGCTGGAATGTCCCCTCCCAGTCTCGAGGGGGGATGATATCAGGATAACATGGCCTATTTTTCTGGAATAACTCTAAGATGCAGTGAACTGAACTAAAAGGAAACAGTGATCCCACAGAGGAGTTTAGACTTGCTTGTGTCACTCACACAGTGAGGCATTTCTATTTCCAGCACCCCAGTGAGGTTGGATGATGCCTATAGAACATCAAGTGGATCCTGCACATACAATGCCACCCACAAAATGCATTCAGATCTCTGAAGACATCCCAAACTTCCAAAATCACTAAGAAAAACTTTAATATTGTCCTTTTGAGATTTTTTCAATTGAATTCAAGAAGTCAGAAACTTCAACTTGCCTAAACAGCTTGGGACAAAGTGGCCAGATCTGGTATCAGTTACCATGGAAACCTCCAAAAGCTTTCAGCAGGTAACAGAGCAGCCTTTAGGTTCGATGTGGAGTCATTTATCAACGTTTTGGGTTTAGCTGTATTAATCTGATGAGCTCTTAATGGCACCATTGTGCATTGTACAGACCAGTTCAAGTAACCGGAGCCTGATGGAAAATAGCCTGAAATTTATTAGGCTCTAAACTAGTGGAGCGCAGAGCTTTTATTGTATGAATTGTTTGTGTGGGACTTTTGATTCAGAAGGAGGATGAATAGCAGCTCGTTGTCTCAGTTCAGTTTTATCATACAAAGCCTCAGCGAACGATGAGATTTTATATCATTAGGATGCACCTTTCTCTCGTCACTCTTAACTTTATGTATTTTAGGTGTGAATCATGGAGGCTGACTCAGTCGAGCTTCCTGTGACCACCCCTGTTAGCCGAAGAGTTATATTTTTAGGTTACATTAGAACAATAATTGCCTCAAATAAAAAATTGCAAAGAACATTTCTTTTCCTTTTTTGTTCTTGGCCTTAACATTTAAAAAGGAAAAAGATTTACAAAAATACACAGGTTTTTTTTCTGTTTATACTCTGTTACAGCAGAATTTCTACTTTCAAACTTGTTCGTTTTAGGATAAAGTTGGACGATTTGTATTCATGTGAAAAATCAACATAAAAGAAAGCTGTTAAGAAAATGTATTCAATTCAGAGAGTTTTTAATTAACACAAACTTACATTTCTAGAGCACCAGACTGCATTCCCAATAGGAAATGATGACATTTATTTTCCCTCGGTCAGGAAAATGTAGTTCTGACATAAAAGTTAACATTTAAATTTTTCAGTCATCTTTAGAAGGTCACTTCCCACCAGACTGAACTGTTAGTGGTGTAAAACTGCACAGATATTAAGAAAACACTGTCGTACGGTAAGAGAACGATTAGGTAGATAGCTAATTTTTTGTTCCCACCCCCATTCCTGGGGGTTTAATGGTTATATTTGTAGAAAAATCCAGGTAAGATGTCACAATTATGTTTATTGTGCCAATGTAAACCAAAATTCGAATACCTTTTTGTAGCTTTGCCTTGAAGAATTCAGTCAGTTTTGATGACAAAACAGAGTCAACCTCAATATTAGCAAGGTGTACCACATGGAGGAATTTGGGTGTAAGTAGTAAGCACATTTTATTTATATAGCACTTATCACAGGCATAGAATCACAAAGTGTTTCGCATAGATCAAAATAAAAGAAAACATGAAGTCATGAAAGCATAATGATCTCAAAACAGAAATAGATTAACATCAAACAAAATAAAGTCATAAAATTATATTAACAGATGAAAGATTACACATTTGAGTTAAAAATAAGAAAACAAATGATTTAGGGT